ATTATTTTGACAACAAAAAATGATTTTGTTGATGAAATAAATGACATGCTTATACATAGATTTCCCGATGATGCTACAGTCTATACAGCTATTGATGAAACAATAGAACCAAATGATCAGTGCCAATTTGAAGATTTTTTACATACCTTACATCCTGCTAACTTACCACCTTATAAATTAACTTTGAAAAAAAATTGTCCAGTTATATTATTAAGAAACTTAAATCCTACTGAAGGTTTATGCAATGGTACACGATTGATATGTCATGATTTTAAATCACATGTTATCAGTGCTATTATTTCCAGTGGTGATTTTAAAAATAAACATGTTTTTATTCCAAAGATCCCATTACTAGCATCACAGGATGAGAAGCTACCAGTTCCCTTCAAAAGAACACAATTTCCAATAAGGTTATGTTTTGCTATGACTATAAACAAAGCTCAAGGTCAAACATTAGATTTTGTTGGAATATATTTGCGTGAACCAGTTTTTTCACATGGACAACTTTATGTTGCTTTATCTCGAGCAAAATGTTCAGACAATGTAAAAATATTAATACGTCCGCCTACAATAGAGGACACAAATGATCATTCTACATATAATGTAGTTTATGATGAAATCATTCGAAAAGCATTCTCACAATAACTTTAAAACCAACAAATGTAATAAGTACACACGCTAATGCTACACATTCTTAAATTTCAAATTCTTTTGCTTTACCCAATTTATTTTTTACATAGGTAAAAGTTAGTTTGCAATCATAGTTCAAGATTTTCAATTTACAATTTTTGGTTTCAATTCAGATTGTGCCTGGCCAATTAATTAAATTTCAAATGTTCATTTTGACTAACCTAAATCCTAACATTGCAGGAACAACTTATTCAATCAAGGGTAACAATTTACATAGTTCTACCTGAAGGAAATGACAAAGATAACCTACCTAAAAATGCAAATAAATGATCATGAGGTACACACAATTTACAGTCATAATGTTATACCAATTAATGTTCCTAACTTTGTTCACTATACTTTCAATGATTTCTTCTTTTTTTTCTTCTCTATTTATTTGTTATTTCACTTCTCACATTATTGTATTAACCTTATTATAGTATGTTTATCTTCTCATAAATGTCTTCATTTTAAAATTGCCACTAATTTTACCATATTTTAACAAACCATTTTCAAATTGCTTTACCTGACCTATATATTTTTTTCTTCAACTTTTATCATCATCAATACTACTAATTTATTTGACGTTTTTTCTGAATCTTCATCGCATCATTAATGTTATTTATATAATTATCTTAAATCACTTATGTTTTCTTTTTTAACTCTTTTACATATATAAAAGTTGCATATGTAAATGATGATGTCATAATTCAGTATATATGAAAGATTCTCTCAATTTAAATTGTTTTACACTTTCTTTTGATCAATTCTAAAGTAATGTTCTTTCTTTTATAATTCTATACTTCTAAGTATTAATATCCACATGATATGTTCAATATCATAAAATTCAAAAAATTTAACAGATCATTTGATTGAGTATATTAGAAAATATAATGAATGCATTAGATGTGTATATTAGTAGTATCTTCTTTGATACAGTTTTTCATGCCATGTATAACTAATGCTTGCATTAGTTATATACTCTATTGTGTATTAACTTGTGTATTACTTATACCAACGAATTCTAGGTATTAGTTATATACTCTATTGAGTAATAAATAGCTCATACAATGACATATTTATTATTTAAAAGAAGTACTCCTTTTGGTTGAAAGCTAACAAAATAGTTACAATGTAACTAAATACTATAATTATTATTCATTTGAAGAAATTAGTTATTATAACTTTATAAGAATTACACATGTATTTTTTACATAATTGATTTGTTATTTTTAAATTTTTTGGATCATTCTTCATCTTAAAGTTTCTATCAATATGTAATAATAAAGAAAATCATCTTTCCACCAATAGGTAATGAGAGAAGCATAAAAAAGGTCAAGCTCTAGGCACATGTGAGCTAACATTGGAATCATCTAATGTTCTACCAAAATCTTCAACCTCGGGGTTGAAAATTGAATCATCCACGCCAGCAAATGCACTATAAAAGGTCAGTCCACTTAAAAACCTACAATTGAGCTTAGATGAGGCTTTTAAATACACGCTTGAGATATAAAGTAAGCTTAAGATATAATGTGACTTATTATATTCTCTGTTCATACATATTTACCCTCTGTATTGTCTGCTATTGCAGGAAGTATCTTCCTTACTTTTGTACTTTTTGGTGATTGCAAAGGAATTTTTTTTTTATTATCATCCGCTACAACTATGCTCAATAAGGAACACCCATCATAGGGAACTAACAAAGATGTTTTCCAGTTTTTATGTCGCTTGCTTTAACCCAGGTTGGTAGTTCGAACTGTTTGATAATTCTGAAGACCTAACCAACAGATATTATTGTATTACTTTTCTCTCTGCTTTCTATTGGTGTTTCACATGTTTTATCACCCTTTGCAGTAAATTTTGAGCAGTCTGTTGTAGCTTGAAGGTAATCGTCTTCGAAAATTGACATCTCAAAATAATATTCAGTATGGGGAGGATAAAGTGTAACAACACCTTACCTCACCTCATGCAAGTAGACAGATTGTTTCTGAAATTTTCATACTTGTCCAATTGTCTTATTATGCTGATATAATTGTATAAGAAGCCTCTTATAGAAGTAATTGAAGGAGTTGCAGCAGGGATATTAGTGTTCCAACAAAAGCAGAAGCTATTAAAAATTATTTGTCAAAGAAAAAATTGAAGTAATTAGCATTACACGCCTAATGAAGATGTTCAAATTTATGACCGTTGAAGAGATTCCCTTGAATGGTAGAAAAGGAAAGCAACTTCAGTACATAGTATAATTGATCAATTATGTTTCAGGCTGCTTCTGTTAATATTGATATTGCTGATGTTGATAATCACTTGGCTGCTGTGAAAATGTTGAAAATATAACCTCATAGGGGTATACTGAATATCATGTGTATCTGTTTTCAAGTTGTGACTTTACTATTCAGTTACTTTATTGTATAAAAAAAATTACTACTTTTGTGACTTTATTGTGTAGTATACAAAATTCATGCTATTTTGATGATTTGGCTGATTTGGGACGACCGTCGATTATGTGATTAGATGAATTCTCAACAAGAGATCAAAATCACGATCAGAGTAATTCTTGTGGATTGACTGATAGACTAAGTTGCGTGGACTCTTCACTTTCGATGCCGCACCCGTGTTGAATTCTCCAAAAATACACAATTTTTGGCGAATCCGACACGCACCTCTTGACATTTTTGAAGAGTCCGAGCAACATAGCTGATAGAAGCACACAAAAGGTTAGAGCTATATGGTTGTCCTTTACAATTACAGCTTCAGCAGTCTATTAGCTCAATCATCTACTATAATTTGAATAAAAACTATTGTAAGTTTCTCTCACTCTCTTGCCATTCCTTTTGCTTCAAGATGCTCACTAGATATAGCGAATTCACCATTCTTCTTATTTTCTTGCTTCACTGAACATGACTCTTAACACAGACAAATTTAAAAGACAATCATCACATGTAATAATAGAAATAACCTAAATACCATTGTTTAACATAATTATTTTAAGTGAATTCTCCTATAGGAACATGCATATTTGATATCACTTTCGTAACAATTTGACCTCCATTTAATCCAATACATGCTAATACAATAGTTGCTCAATTAAAATGAGCCCCATAGTACAACTTAAATTACATTAAATTACAGTTGCAGTCTGCTCAGAATCCCAACTTTCAAACCCCTCCCCTTCCTTTCTTACTGTCTTTATGATGTTTACAAAAAAGGGAAGTTTCAACTGATTGTTCATTTCATATTTGTACACACCAGCTGCAGCACTGATGATGCATGATGACATACATAGGTTGAATAGAAGTTCTTTTCAAAGACATGATTTTGAACTAAATGCTGGACCTGGAATAGTAAATCCAGCTTCAAGGCAAATTTACTTCACATTTCCTGCTGATACTACTTTGAAAGAAGACGATCTTTCCAATTATTTCAACTATTATTCATTTCAAATATTCAATGTATTAAGGTTGGCCTCCTCAGTTTACTTTCTTAAATGTTGTTATTCTTCAATTTTCTACCAGTTACAGGCCTACTAACAATAATATGATCCCTTTATGTGCAATTTAGTCTAAAGAAATGACATTTTACCTCTGTTATACTCTGCTTTTTTCAATTTTAGTTTATAGGTTCGGACCAAGGGTTTGGAGTAATAAGAGAGTTAAAGGAGATGATGGACACAGAGTAGGATCTTCAAACATACGGATATTTATGAGCAAGTCCATACAGCCCTTGAAGATTCTGAAAAAGCAGACCCTAACTTGTTCATGATTTAATATTTCCATATGTCACCTCCAAACCCATCATAATATTATGAGCTTTTATAATATTACTGACTACCTCTGTTGTTGTTGTACTGTGTTATTACAAAGCCTCAAATTTAAAAAAACAAAATTTAACAAATACGTGCGGAATATATACAAAACACAATGTCATACTCCCTCAGAGATAAAAATGGTATTGTTCATTCATCCCTCTTTCTTATTCTTCAATTTTCTTCTTTATTCATGGCTACTTTGTATACAATTGACGTCTACTTTGTTTTCCTCAACTGTTTTAGATTACAATTATTTACCTTTTTTCAATTTATTGTTGTTTAGGTGTTTCTCTCATCACTTTATTCGGTCTATGTTCTAATTTGCTTTTCACCCTGGCCCATTGTGTTTTGCAGTTGTTTTTTTCTCCTACTTGAATCAGTTGGTGGTCAGACAACTGACTATCCAATTGACGAATGATTTGCCTGTTCAACGAACACTACATTCATTTCATCAATATCTCAACATTAAGATCAAAAACACAACGACTGTTGATGAGAACAACTAACCCCACATTGTAATTCCTTTTTATTCTTCCTCTTCTATCTTTGTTGTTCTTATTTTCTGTTGTTAACTGCTCTATAAGCAATATGGAAATGACTACTCCTTACAATTTGTTTATGCTAAACAAAAATGGACTTTCTTGTTTGTAATAGTGCATACTCTTTGGGAGAATTGTTATACATACTGCAACTCATCTACACTCTGTAGACGCCCAGAGGTATATTCTTCAGGTATGTTATCATTTCATATTTCACTATTATTTTACTATTACAGATATTTTTACCTATTTTATATCTCATAAACGTCTTATCTTTCTCTTTCTACTGTAATTTGTATCTTCCATGCCTATAATGAGGCAAGCACATGTTGACGTATTACACTTTCCAACTATAGTAAGCAATGACTTCTACATATCATAGTTCATAGTTCAATTAGACAAATGTAGACTATTGACATCCTTACACCATTTTGAGAAACTGAAGTCCACAAAACAGAACACTTGAAAATCTAACTATAACATGTACAAGACGTCACAAAATATAATTTACGCCTAAATATAAGAAAAAATATGTTCAATTACCTTCTGCCAATATCATGTTTGGATGATGAGGTTCATATCATACACCAATAGTCACAATGACAAGTCTTATCAATTAACAACAATTTGGGTGCTCATCTTGGACATGTGGATGATGAAGTTCATATCATACACCAATAGTCGTGATGGAACCCCACAAAACTTTTGTCAACCACTAGAAGTACTTACGAGAAACAACTACAGCAAATTATAGAAAGCCACTACAGTTGAAAATAGTTACCAAAAATTGAACAATCAGATATAATCACTTCACTTGAAAAATAACAAGTCTTATCAATTAACAACAATTTGGGTGCTCATCTTGGACATGTCTTTTCAGAAAACTCTTTTACTAAGGTGCACAACTTGCATAAAGACGGTACAACTAATAATAGTTATAAAATTTTTGTTGTTGTCCAACAATAATATGAGGCTATACAGAAGGGTAGTGAATTCACCGAATGTCATTTCGAATCTGAAAATCAGTTCAACATGAAGCTAATAAAAATACAATTATCCAATACTTTTAAAAGTTGCAGAAACAATTTCAGTTTGTTCTCTTTGTTCTTTACTCTTTCAAATTGTTAAGTTATTTTTCAAAATGAACACAACAAAATGAAACTATTTTGCAGGAATGAACTGTAAGAACTTCATACTCAAAATATCTGCCAAATGTCTCCATTGCTCATACGCTAAGTGGGTGATTTCTTACTCTATTATTTCAATATTTTTTGGAAAACAAAATACAGTTTTAAACTATGTTTCAGCTTCTGTAATTTCATTATAACAGCTTCTTTAACTTTTTCCTTACCATAACATTATACTTGCTTATATCCAACTCTGTCCATAATCAAATTATCTGTATTACTCATAATTCTATTACAATGTTTTCCGCTTTTGTGCCTCTCAAGTTGATCAACTTTTACCTCTATCAAACATTTTAGGAGTTACCACATTTTTCTATGTTGCTGTTTATCCTACCTCTTTGTATTGGTCAGACTGTACTCTCATTGTTTATAATAACCCAAAAAAAAAAATTCCTTTGTTTCTTCCTTTGCTGTAAATTTCTAACAATTAGGTTGCTTCTTCATTTGCTCTAACTTTGTATAGTACATTGTACTTATCTAAATATCTATTAAGTCTCTATCATGGTTAAAGTAATTACTTCATGTACCTAAACTTACCTTCTGGATTTACGAACCGATGAATGAATTTCTTGCTAACTGTGCTTTACTCTCATCCGCAGAAACCACAATGCATGTGTGGAATCATACATAGTTGCCGCAAGGATAAAACAACGTTGTTAGTGGACTTCCACAAACTTAGCTCTCATGCTAACTTGGTAGGTACAAAACACAATCCTCTACTATTGCTGTTTCATCTTCTTACTCTGAATACATCACCCTGCCAACACTTTTTACATTCCTGCTTCGGTGCTTCTATGTTTTCATTTGACAAATTTTGCATGCATATTCAAATATTTATTTCATTGTCTCATCTTCCCAATATTACTAATTCACAATTTACTTTTAATTCAATCACATCAACTAACAATTAAAACAATGGTATCTGAACTTAGCACTAATGATTTACTTCATTTCTAAATGTAGTCACTTCACTGTTAAACACGTCCAAATGTGCATTTATATCTACATTTGAACATCACAATCTCAAAGCTGAAAAGACCATCAGAACATTCCAGCATAAACAACCTAAACTCTCCTCTTTCAGGACCAAAATTGCTGACTTTATTGTCTTTCTTTTGTACATCAAAGATTCATCTTTGATGTTTCTGATAATGGCGCAATTTTTTTTTCCTTCAAACATTCAAACAGCCCTTTTTTCCTTCATATCTACTTGAAATTTTATTACCACTTTTCAACTACTCTCTGTTAATTTGTTTCTTTCTCAAATTCTCTGAGTTTTCCTGATTGTTTTATACTTTGTATAACCTTAGTGAAAATCCTGTCTCCATCATTGAATTTGAAAATTCACTTTTCTTTCACATCTCATTTTCCTTTACCCTATGTTCTAAGACAACTTTTCTATGTTTCTGTTGCACTTGCAAGTGATTTTCAGTCATACATGTAATGCCCTAAACAAACACCTTTTATTTGTGATAATCATTCTAACATTTGCTCTTGTTAAGTTAACTTTCTTCAAGACTATTTCTACATTTTTCGTTAATATCTGAATAATTCTGCACGTTCTGTTCATTTTTGTGTCTGTAACCATTTATACATTTGTTAGCCATGTGGTTAACAACAGCAGAAGTTTTGGTCTTACTGTCAACCTGGTACCTATATTTTCTCCATTGTTGAACAAGTTACAACACACATACTTTGCCCATGTCAACTGCTGCTGCTGTCAGTTATTTGTAAACAGTTTGTCTCAAAAACATTTTCCATTTCTCCTAATAATCTTGCAGACACAGAACAGTGGAGCTGTAGTCCTGAACTTCTTACTAATCCTCAATTTAATGTTATCCATCAAAAGTACAGTTGGTCCATATAATTATTGTAAACATCACAATCCAATTAGCCATCTAACAAGTCAACTAATATGACAACAGAGCAACATGAATGCGAATTCAGAAAAAGAACTGCTACATTAGATCCTTCAAATTACTTGAGCCCTTTTTAAAATGCAAAGCTTCATCATTATAACTGCTAAGCTGCATTTTATGATGCTTCCTAACGTAATGACTGCTTTAGGCACAAATACTTCAATAAACTCATTCATTGCTATCGTACAACCATTGCACTTTCACCAACTGCAGTGTCTTATGCCAATAGAGCGATCACTTATCTTCAAATCAAAACACAACTTTAGTGCACTTCATTGTTCTTTTAAGTAACGTAGGTAAGACTCCAAAATTACAAGCTTTCTTACCTCTTTCTGTGTGGCTGTATTTAGGTGTCAGGAGGTACACAATGACTGCAACAAGCGTTGAATCTGGATCATCGCTACATTACAGCTTATTCTCGGCATTCAACTACTACCAAAGAACTTGGGAAATTGAAAGAATCAATTGAAGGTATAGTTAATCTTCAAATATTACCATATGTGGAACTGTTAAATTCAGGTTTGCTGTCTGATGCACACGTAGCAGCACATATGTCATTAAGACAGATTTTCATTCTGTAAAGACTGCCTCAGATTTACCGCAGATGCTTTTCATGAAGATTTCCATCAGCACCAAAAGCTTTAGTATTCAGTTGTAGAACATGATCATCCTCTGCCTCCAAAGCTTGTACCCTTTTTTGGATCAGTATTGCATCCACAACACAATTTTTAGCATCTTCTTTCTCCTGAATTGATACTCTACTTTCCAACTCTTTGAACTTTTCCAAATACAACTTCAGTTTTGCCTCAACTTTAGCTTTTTCATTTTTTAGCTACTCATTTTTCTTCTGCATATCCTTCAATCAATTCTCCATCGATTGAAACATATGCAAAAGAAAAATGAGAACCTAAAAAATGAAGAAGCTCAAGTTCACGCAAAACTCAAGATGTATTTCGAAAAGTTCAAAACAGTTGGAAAGTACAGTATCAATTCAGGAGAAAGAAGCTGCTAAAAATCGTGTTGTGGATGCAATACTGATCCAAAAAAGGGTACAAGCTTTGGAGGCAGAGGATGATCATGTTATACAACCGAATGCCAAAGTTTTTGCTGCTGATGGACATCTTCAGGAAAGGCAATTGTCAGCACCTACGCCTCCATTGGTTGACTCAACTGCAAATCGAAATGGAAATGGAAGTGATAAATGAAGACATGAAAGTATTATTATGCTTATATCTGTCTTGTTCACCTTTTTTTTTAAGTTATGTGCTCAATTTCTGTATGCTTTTCAATTTTGGTTAGGGACTTACAGTTATTCACTCATGCTTTTTCTGCTATGCTCAAGCTTTAGTTATCTATGCTGTATGTTGTAATATTTACTTCACTTTGGACCTAAACCTAACTCCTAAGTATTTATGTGGAACTGCAAATGTGCTAGACATTGATGTAGTAATTGTGTGCACTTGATGTGGTTTGTATTCCTTTGTCTTTAACTTCAAACTGTAAGATTAACATGGTCACATGAGTGTAGCTGCAAGCAGTGATAACACAGACTTCATTTGTACAAAAATGAATCTGCTTAATTGTCCTGATATCCAGACATTGCATCCCATGCCTTCTGCTGGTAATTCTGCTCAACTCAATACCAATGTTTCCAACATAGAAACGAAGAGACACCATTCAAAGCAACCAGGTACACATGATTTCTCACGCTTATTCTTGCATTTCGTTTGTTATCTCTCACATTCAACCCACATCTCAAGTTAGCAATAATGATTTACTCAATTTCTAAATGTTTTTATATCCATTGTTCAACATATATTGCAAATTAAGAAAATCTAAATTATCTTTTTTTTTATACCAATACAACAGTAGTGATCTCTGTCTGTTTGTCGACTTACCATTTTTGCTACCATACTAACCAAATGACACATGATTTCATGTGTCTGTCTATCTCTCTGTGTATATATATACACACATATATATATATACACACACATATATATATATATGTATATATATAGAGAGAGAGAGTATATATATATGTACATAGATAGATAGATAGATAAATACAAAAATCTTTTTCATCCTTATTTACAAAGAACAGTTAAAGTACAATTGTCTTCATACAAATTCATGCAGTTTTGGTTGCCACTGAAATAATGCCAAAAAGCAGACAAAATCATTACAGTAGGTACTCAAATGTAATGATTTTGTCTCTTTTTGGACTACCAAATGTACTGATTTTCTGCCTTTTTTGGCACTATTTCATTGGCAACCAAATCCCCATGCATTTCTAACAAGACACATGTAATTTTTTTGTCCCTTATAATTTCTCTATTTCTAAAATAAATAAAAATAATAAATTAGATAAGGGTAAGGTAATACATATTTTTATATTTATATATATATATATTACCCTTATATATCTTTCTTTTTTTTATATATAATATTATTACCCTTATATATATATTACTGATACAACATAAATTTAATAGGCTCTCATTCAAGAACAAATTTTGCTCCCTTTCTCAGGTATTATTTCTTCCCTTTTCATCTTTTCCCTCTTCCCAGTTTCAATTCTTCTTCCAGATTCTGCTTATCACCAAAACAGAAAAAAAAAAAACACAAAATTGTAGTTATTAGTTGGAAGTCAATTACTATAGTATTACATTTGTACTGATATTGCAAATGTAAAACCCAAAGTAATAACCTCCCTTATGAGTTTCCTGTTTCATAGCTCATATTTAATGCTTTCAATAGTATTCAATCTTTCATAGATATAACATGGACCCAGGAGTATGCTTTTACCTTAATCCCCAACATCATCAAAATATCGCCACAGTAGCTGTTTTCTTTTGTTTTCTTTTTTTTGGCTTTCTTGTTTTTTAAATTTTAAATAGTACCATCAAAGTTTAGTTTCTATGAATAAAGTTTTTCATATTGTTTTTGCTAAATGTATAGTCATTTCACCTGAGTTTCAGAGATAATTGTTCCTCTTTTAATATTCAGCAACATTTTTTGTCCCTATAACAGCTTTTCTGTCAAAAAATAATTGTCCAACTGTACTTTGCACATTAATAATGCCTGCTAACTGATTTAATGTCTTCATTGCGCTTCGCTAAAGGGCCCTAACAAATTTACACATGACTCTACTTCTACTATCACAAGACTGTGTTTTTCTTTTCATTTGTTCTTCATTTTGTTTTTGCTTGCAAAATACAAACTTTATTATCTTTCCACTGTTTACATCTCATATCACCCAATAGTAACAAGTACAACACTAAAGTAGTATAGTTTGTTTGCTCACTTTGGCTGTAGCTCCTTTCTTTGTATCCAATTATCAAACTGCTGCTTCAACATTCTACAATTGTACAGTAGTATCTCATGACTGAAAAAGAACTAATAGCACATAAATGGTTACCCCATCAAGATAACAGCAAAAGTCAATAGTATCATACATCCTAGGTCGTCTCTTATGAGTTTGTACTGTACATTCATTCTTTCTCCTAAGTTGCTTTTACAAGAGTTTCTTAATGCTTTGTTTCTACAAGAAAATCTCATTTACACAGCTGGAAGATGCATTTTGCTCCACACTGCTCCTTTCATTTCATTCTTTTTCCCCTTTTTTGTAAACACCTGAAACAATGTTGCATGTCAGTCAACTTACCACGTACTTTGACTTACTACTCAACTTACGAGTACTTTGAATTAACATTCATGTTATCCTACAGATACTACTATTTGGTTAACTATATTTCCTACAAACATGGTACTATGACTTAACATTGACCAAATAGAACTAGCGACACGGGATTGGATTTGCAAAGTTCAAATTGTCGAAATAGGACGCCCACGAGAAAGCCTTGACAAGAAATGTACATTCCAAAATTTGATTTTGGAAGATGAAGAGGTGAGATCATTGTTATATTTTATGTTATCACTATTGCTCTTTTCCTCTCAACTTAGTTAATCTCAACTTTCTATAACTCTTACTTTCAGGAATGCCAAATTAAGGCTGTTATGTACGCTGACGAAATTGAGCAGTATGCAGCTACACTTAAACTCTTCCATACCTACCTGATCTCTACTGCAAGAGTGAAAGCCTCCCAAGCTTCATACGGCAAGCCAATACATAAATTTTACTGGATTCTTGACAAAGAAACAGTAATTGAACAAATCAAACCATCTCACGAAGTTGAAAATGCACTTCCACCGCCAACGAAGCTGAATATCACAACCTTTGACCACATTCCTCATCTGATGGTTGATTCTGCTGCTGAAATAGGTATATCCATCGTAATAGCTATTCTCAGACTGAAATATACATCTGCACTGCTGCAAAACACTTGCAACAATTCATTATATATATTACATACGCAGATATACTAGCAATTGTTCTTCGTTGTGGTCCTCAAAAAAACGCCGGTCGCAGTCATCATAGGTGTCGAGAAATTACCCTTTGTGACAATCAGTAAGTATAACATTTCACATTCTCTTTACTCCTTTTCTGCAAATATTTCGAATCAGTAACCACTTATTCCCTTTCTATGTTCACATCATCAATTATCATCTAACCATTAGCCTGGTACTTACTCTTCTGTCTTTGTGTTCTCACACTGTCAGGAAAAGTCAGTTTCTGTTCACTCTATGGGAGGATTTCGGCGAAATAGAAGGACATGAAATTGCCTCTAAAATGGCAACAGAACCAGATCTGCTTGTCATCCTCGCAAGAAGTATAGGAATCTCTACTTATCAAGGTAGATAGACAGTCAACTTCTTGCCAACATAATGTTATACAATAACAAAACAATGTACAACCTATATTTTATACAGGGTTGTCACTGCAAACTAGATACAATTCCACACTACGTGTGAATCCCAATTACCCACAGGCAGTGGCACTCATCAACTGGTACTGACATCTCATATTTATTGTACAGCTTTAAATTACATCTAACCAAGCTACTAAACATATTATCTGTTGTAACAATAGGGCAAAAGAGAACAAAACAATGTTGTTAGGTTGTCCATCAGAGAAAACCTCAACAAGCTCATCTACCGCTCCCATGATACTCACTACTGGTGGCCAACAACTTCTCTCTATTGCACAAATCTCATCAGCACCTTCTGTAAGTCACACTTGAAGTTGCTCATTTGACAGTATCCTTGTTCAATTTCTCATTCTGTAGCTTTGCTAAAATAATCATAACTTCCCACAGATGGGAATGTTCTATGTTGAAGCAGAGATGGCCATATTAGATGATTTCCAAGACTTTTGTGTGCTTGAATGCTCAGGATGCAAACAGAAGAAGCGGACAAAGGATAGAAAGGATTTTGANNTGAAACTTCCCTTCATTTCAGCTGTAGCTTCCAAATTGATCTTATTGACAACACTGCTACAACCACAGCATCTATCTCTGCTGATTTAGGAGAAAAAATACTCTCCATGACAGCAGAAGACATATTTGACATAACTTGCACTAAGGTTATCTCTCATTCCCACTGGCTACTTGAACACACTTGTTGTCATAATAGTGTATATCTTCAGCACAAACAGTTTGCCACATATGCTCTGTTCTAAACTATTTACTCTTAACTTGTTATATTTACAGCGACAATCATTGTCTCTTACTCATGTCCATGAGATGTTGTCCAACAAAGTATTCACAATTCAGCTGAGGAAGTCATCTTGGGGCAGCTCAAATACCACGCATACAACTTTGTCCATTCTTTCCTACACAGAAAAACAACATGCTCCACAGACCACCACTGATAGGACTTCTAAAAAGATAAAACCTTTGGAAATAACTGAGGTAGAAGTGATAGCAACAACTACTGCAGCTGCTTCTTCAAATGCACCGCCCAAATTTGAACCTCCCACACCAACCAAAAAGGTGTAAAAGGTCAGTCTACATCTCCCTTTCACACCAAACTATAGCTGAAAATGATTGCCACTTCCACATATTTGCAACGAATTCAGAAATTCCTCATAAAATCCTCTACTTTCACCTGTAGTTTACTTGGTTTTATAGACATATCCATGTAGTTCCTATAAAACATTATAAGTGTCATACTTATGGTATACCACTGCTTTCACACTTGCTCTTATCTCCTTTGAAATTTCACAATTTTCTTATGCTTATGTCTGACATAACATTGCAAAGCCTCACAGTAATTCAGGGCTAAAAATGCTTTATCCGTGTTCATATCCATGCTCAAATCAATTGGTTAACTTTTTCTTTTTAATTCCTCATCTCATGTTGACTCTTCACTTAGGTTTTCTCTTATAACAACAATTCAGACACTCCAATATAAGCCTATTTACGTGTTTTGGTAGATAACTTCCACTGCATACATTCTTCTACATTTTTCCTATTCTACTTTGTTATGATGGCCTACACATTAATACAAACTTATCAGTAGCAACAATAGGAACAACGTTTCTGTCTACCAGCAAATCTATCAGTCCATATTTGCAGTTTCTAACATACTTTAAACTGTGTAATTGCAGGAACTACCTCGCACCATTTTGTGACTTTTGCTTATGATAGGGACAATATAATGAACAACTCTCCCTATGCTGTGGTTTATTTCATGAGGAAGATTAACTATGCACAAGCAAACTGCAGTGTCTTCTAAATATGATACTGCAACATGTATATTGTTTTTGTTATGTTCCATTAGTTAGTATGTGTGAATAGTTCAACTCGACATCATACTGATGTGTATTGTACATATTCTGAATATTTCTAATAGTACATATTATATATATGCTATTATCTATCTTCTATAAACGCCTAACCCTTAATTCATAACATAACAACACTTTTACAAGCATAATACTTTGACTATTGGGCCCGTGCTTGCCACGGGCCTCCCTACCCTAGTATATATATATATAACACATTTAGTTTGTACAATAATAATAATTAACTAATTAATAAATAATTGTCATAAAAAATAGAAAAGATAAATAGGATCTAGGCCAAAAAGAGGTATCACATTACTTTCTTTTATATAACTTTTAATTATTTATAGATTTATATTAAATGTTGATATTAATGGTCATTTTTCTTTACGTCTTTTCATTGCCTTCATAATTTTCTTTGCTTTTTTTTTTTATTACAATAATAGATTAAACAAAAAAAATGGTCATAAAAAGTCTAATATCACTTTGTCTATACCTAACCTTATATTATATATACATTTAGAAAAGAGAGATAACCATATTCATATAAATTAACGACTTCAAGAAAATTACACTTAAAAAAAGAAAAATTGATCATAAACAAGTATCACATCACTTTGTCTATACGTAACCTTAATATTATATATAAATTTAGAGAAGAGAGAGATAAACATATTCATATAAATTAACGACTTTAAGAAAATTATACTTAAATTACAAAAAATAAAGTCTTACAAAAACTTAAATAGCAATGGCTTTGATAAGAAAAAAAAATTCTGACTTTTGATCTTCATATCAAAAAGCTCTATATTAATAAGCATGTTATAAACTGATGATAACATATAGACATTAAAATCAAAAGATCAAGAATAAAATAATAAAAATTTAAAAAGAAGAAAATAAATATAAATAACAGAAAAGAGAAAACAGTTACCTGAGACCTCAAAAGAAAATGTATCAGGAGTATATTATACACACGAAAATAAAGTATGCATAAGTAAAGGAATGATGTCAATTGATTATTGGTGATTAATAGCATCAAAAGTAACCGAAGCTACGTGGGACCGTAATTTAATTGTCCATTTGTTTTTTGTTTTGTTATTTTATTTATTTTGTTGCTTTGTCTTTGTTGGGCTAGTGGCAAGTTGTACAGATTTTTTGTTTTATTAAAGGAGGCCTTTGAGCCTCACACCTCTAAATTTATAAAAAAAAAAAACGTTGCATAAATTCACTTGGAAAGAAAAGCTAAATGTAGTAAATGTTAATAATGAGGAAAGAGGTTAATTATTAAAAGAATTTTGAACAGAAAATTAAAAAAAATCAAAATTCTGAAAAAATAGATAAATAGTAATGCTGACCAATGAAGCATGTCATATCAGCGTGTTTATTTTCAACTTTATAGATATATAATATAGATTTGTTCAAGTCGTCTAGAAATTAATGGATTGGAATCAAGATAATTTAAATTGGGTCAATTTCAACTCATTCAAGCATTATCCCTTTGAAAAAAGATCTTCAATTTAGCCTAATAATCTCTTATTCAACCCATTTTAAAATGCTTTATTTGCATTGATGCAACTATGAATTACTATCATTTTTTTCATCTTGTATTATTCAAATAAAAAACGAGTACATCGATAATGATAACAAAACAGATGCTCTAGCAAGACAATGAGCAATCTAATTCGGGGTCTTGTACGCCATGTTACATCTAGGGATACCCTTGGATTATGACATATGGATTCTCATGTTTACCCATTTTATCTATATTTATATGAACTTAAATAGGTTGAAGTCCATATTTACTCATTTAAGAAAATATGAATGATCCATTTAATTTAATATAAAAAAAATATATTCATTTTACTTATATGAGCTGAAATTGACACCCCTACATAAATCATGTAACCCCATATGTCACTTGATGTCTGTATAAGAGCTTGTCATCTTGACTATATACATCACCCCTTGGCCTTATCCAATTATTAGAAGTAAATAATTGGGAAATACATCATCCATTAATATAATTGATTGTAAATTATATTAATTGAATAACAGTTGTGTCCCCTCAATGAAATGTAGCGTCCTCGGTTTTCATGGCAATTACCTATTTTTTGGATTTTCTAGATATACACCCCTACCTTTACACCATCTCTCAATCTTTCCCAAAAGTTGAACGATGTATC